TATGATCACACGGCCGCTAGGACAGAGCCTGGGCAGAGGAGCCTGGACCTGTGGACATGGTTATGATCACGCAGCCGCTAGGACAGAGCCTGGGCGGAGGAGCAGGACCCGTGGATGTGGTTATGATCACGCAGCCGCTAGGTGCTAGAGGAGCTACCATGCTGTTTCTCAGAAAAGCGCTTCTGTCCAAGAGGAAGCGTATGTACCCCCTGGGGGCAGGACAGGGCTGGGACAGGAGGATTGTGGGTTCTTCTAGTTTATTTGTGTTTTCTATTATAAATGTGTCACTTTCGCAGTATAAAACACACGCAGAAGGCTGATTCCAGCTTGGGGGGCATAGCAGGGCATAGCCGTGATGACGTGGGCTCACGTGGCTAGAAACCTGGCTCCACAGATCCCCACAGAGGGGCCCTTGTAGGAGTGGGTGGCTTCCAGGGAGGCTGGACGCTGCACGCGTCCTACACCTTTGAGGTGCCACGTGGGCCCGTGCACAGAGCAGGGCTGGGGTCCCAGACAGCAGCCCCTTGTCGGGGTGGGAGGGGAGACCAATGAGACATCCAGGGTAAAAACCCAACCTGAGGTGTCAGGGCAAATCAGCCTCAATTGCTCAAAAGTTTTCCTCTGAGACCAGAGTCTCATTTGGTGTTTTCAACACAGGGTCCCATGAAAATGATTCAAAACCCACCAGAGAGAAATGCCCAGCTGTGCCTCCACCCTCTGTGGCAGACGCCATCCCCATGAGGCCTACGGGGACCTGTCTCCTGAGGTAGGGGTTTCAGAACATTCCCCTAACACTTTCAGAACATCGCAAAGCTCTCCTAAGTCAAGGGGCAGATAACCAGTCTTGTCTCCAAAGAGCATTTTCTGCCTGAATTTAAATACTGTGGATGCATCATCACTTACAGTCGGTGACAGAGATGAGGATGGTCAGCAGCATGGTTACTCCAGGACACTTTTCCACCTGGTGACAATGCAGGGTGGAGACCTTCCTCACGTGTTGGTTTTGCTTTCCTCCAAACTGCTCAGACCCTGAGAGAGGTAACCCAGTCCATCTTGTTTGGGAAGAGCTTTCAAGTTGAAGGTGACCAGGAGATTGTCAACTTTCCAATCGTGAAATCATCTTCATGAAGGAGTGGTGGGACGTGGCCGGGGACGAGGCGGGCTCAGGGCTAATTATGTGACAGCAGTCGGAACAGAGCGTGCACGGGCACCGCCGGCACCTTCAGAACAGAGTGGAGCTGCACGCCCGGCTTCTTATTAGGCCATAAATATTCTAATTAGCAAAGAGCGCACGCTGACCAGCTCTGTGAGAGGAGCACTCGAGGAGGCGCAGGAGAGACTCTTGAGCAGCGCGTGTCTTATCGAAGTCTCTCCTGACATTTTAATCATGTAGAAACGCTCAATTTACATAGCTCTGCCTAATTAGACACAGTGGCAATTATGTTTGTGGATTTTCCCCTCCAAAAGATGACTTTCTCTGTCAGATGGGAAGCTGCTGTTGAAAGAAAGTGTGGCATTTCCCCCCAAAGACAGCTTGTTGCACAAGGGCAGGGGGAGAAATTATTTTATTAATAAAATGGAAAAAAGAATGTAAAGTGTACAGATGTGCCCTTTTCAAATCTGGGCACACAGGTGTCCAGCCAGAGTGTGACCACCTGGCTGAGGAAGGAGAGCTCCGATCCACAACCTGTTCTTACAGGCCGGAGCCCAGGCTGAGACAGAACCTGGCTTCCGCCGGGCAGTGACTCAGGCCAGGGAAGGTCATTCGTCCCCAGCTGGGGTGGGGTGCTGGTGGCTCACTTGGCATCACCCCCATTCGTTCACTGATGCCTGACAGTGGAGGCCCAGGGCTCTGACCTTCAACCTTATCGTTCCACTGTTTGCTGCTGACTATCCCAAGCCAGGTGTCCGTGGTTGACCACGCTTCTCCTTCTCCAAAGTGGTAACTATAAGCCTTGATTCTCGCCTTCCCTGGGAGCCAAGGGAGGGAAGAGCTGGCAGCACAAAACATAAGCCCAGGCTGGCTCCAGTGCTCCTGTGGGAGCGGGAGCTCTCCCCAGCAACCCCACGACTTCTAACCAGAGGCAGAGGCAGAGCGTGGGCAGCCGCGTGGGAGGGAGGCTCTCCTGCATGGGGCTGTCCAGTCCTCCGGCACCATTTGGTGATCAGGGCTTCCTCTTTCCAGTGTATGTTGTTGTCTTCTTTGTCAAAATCTCTTGGTGGCAGCTATCTGGTTTTATTTCTGGGTCTCTATTCTGTTCCATCGGCCTATGTGTCTAAATTTATACCAGTACCATGGGGCTTTGGTTACTAGAGTCCTGCAGGATAATCTGAAGTCAGGTCATGTGACGCCTCTGGATTTGTTCTTTTCTGCTTAGGATTTCTTTGGCTATTCTGGGTCATTTTTGGTTTCATATAAAATTTAGGTTCATTTTTTCCAGATTCATGAGAAATGATGTTGGGGGTTTGATGGGAATTGAATTGCATTGACTCTGTAAATCAGTTGGGCAGTATGGACTTCATAAGGTCAATTCTTCCAACCCATGAGCTTTAAATAAGCATTTTTGTTTGGAACATTTTGTAGGCAGTTCAGCAGCCGGGCCGGCCTCCCTGGGGCCTGGTCAGTGGGGGCAGGTCGCTAGGTGGCCAGGGCTGTGGGTCTCACTTGGTCGAGCTGCAGGGGCGGAGGAAGTGAAGCCTCGGGAGTTGGGCTTGGTTCTTGTCACAAGCCCTGACCTTCCTGTGGGGACACCTGCCCTGGGAAGGTCAAGGGTGCCCCGCCTGTGGGTGCCAGGCCAGCCAGCGAGACTTGAGGGCTCCGTGGTCTCTCGGTCCCCTTAGCACCTGCCACTCAGACCTGCACCCTCTGCTGACTGCTTTGGATCCTTTCAGTATTTTTAGCTGGGGAGATTCCACAGATATTGTCTATATGTACTTTTTGTTTTTTTTTTGAGACAGAGTCTCACGTTGTCGCCCTGGGTAGAGTGCTGTGGCATCACAGCTTATATCATCCTCTAACTCCTGGGCTCAAGCGAGTCTCCTGCCTCAGCCTCCCAAGTAGCTGGGACCACAGGTGCCCGCCATAACACCCAGCTATTTTTTGGTTGCAGCCGTCATTATTGTTTGGCAGACCCGGGCTGGATTCGAACCAGCCATCTCAGGTGTATGTGGCTGGCGCCTTAGCCACTTGAGCCACAGGTGCTGAGCCTATATGTACTTTTTGGCAGATACTCTTTCCTGAAACTAAACTAAAAACAGTCAGCCCTCCCAGCCACCTGTCCCACCCATGGCTGCATGGACACAGAAGGAGCAGGGTCCCGCTGCTGTTTGTGCAGGGCCGGGAGGGCAGCGGGGTGAACCAAAGACCTGGGGCTGTGACCCACTCACCCATGACCTTGGAGAACTGCTCCCTGTGTGGACTTGGCGAAATGGAGAGGATGCTGCGAGGCGGCTGTGAATATCATGAATGTAGGCAGGGCCTGTGTCTGAGCGGCGGCTTCTGGTCTCGTGATGCATGCTCTCCTGCCCAGCACCCCAAACCCTCCCCGACAGCTGGCACCTCCCAGCACCCACTTCCCCACCCTTTGTAGCACCCCTAACTAAAGGACAGGTGTGTCCTGCCCATGTGTCAGGGAAGGGACGGCTATGGCTAAAGGCAGGAATGGAGGACGTCCTCAGAGAGCCATGGCGTCACCTGCCGAGTAGCCCTCAGCTCTCATGTGCCACCCTGGGCATCACCCATTATAGCTTAGAGATTTCCAAGAAAACCACCCAGGGACAGGGTGGGTGGGGTTTCTCCATGTTACAACTTGGCAATGATTGATTTGGAAAGCTGAGACAGCGGCCACACCGTGGGGCAAGTCCTCTCTTTTAGGGCCAAAGTGCAGCTTGAGGCGTCTAGGGCCCACAGCTCCAATCTTGGGAAGGGAAGGCCTACTACCCCAGTTAGGCTCACCCCAAAAATCTCCAGTGCACAGCAGGGCCCCAGGAAATCCAGAGATCAGGGCTGTGGCACCTTCTGAGCGCTGACAGAGACAGAGCCTGATGTTAGGGAGTGGCCACCGTGGGCCCTGCTATCAAGTGTCCAGTGAGCAGCAGCTGTCCTGCTTGCTCTGACCTCAGCGAGGTGACTGGATGGGTCCTATGAGCCACCAGCTTTAGTGGGGAGATGACGTCTGGGATGAGCCTGGCTGCTGTGGTCACAGGGCAAACAGGCCACACAGCAAGGCCTGGAAGTGGAGCAGGAGGCCATGCTCTGCCCTAGGCACAGGGGGCTGTCAGCCAGGAGGCCGTGAGGATCTCCGGGCCTCTTGGGGGTGCCCATATGGGGACACCTGGCCAAATGCCTGTGAATGCCGCTGCACTGGGCAGAGTGTGCTTGGTCTTAGAGTGGATGCTGGAGATGATGTGGGGGGCTTGGGAGGCCACAGGGGCCGAGGGTGGGGTGTCACAGAACCCTGAGCTCTCCTGTCATCCCAGGATTTTGAAGTACAGCTTCTGTGGCACCCACACCATCATAGAGGTGTGCAACGGTGTGGACGGAGGGTCCGCCTCTGAGTCACCATGCTTAGAGTCAGAGACTTCTAGGCAGGTGTGTGTTGAGGTCCTGAGAGGGGACGTCAGAACACCCTGGGCCCAGAGCACTGCTGTGTGGGATCTTGAGAACCAGCAGGCTGTCCCTGGTCTTCTGAGTGCCCCCACTCTGCTCCTGACACTTGTAGAGCTGTTCTGCAAGCCTCCATGGTGCCCTGCCAGGGATCTCCTGAAACAGCTGGGAGTTAACATTGGGAATCCGCTGTGTAGAGTCCTCTCTGCAGCTGCTCAGGGACCACGGGAGGGGCAGCTGGGCTTTGTGATGCCACCTCCAATGGTGGGAAGGGCACTATAGCCCCCTGTCTCCCCAAGAGAGCAGTGTGTGCTGATGGGTGATGCCTGCCTGGCCCTGCACCCCCCAGCACCCCAGGGCTCTCCAGTCCTGCGTGTCCCACCATCAGCCTTACCTCCCGGTCCAGGCCGGCCGCCACTGTCACAATGTCTCCTGTTTCGCTGTTGATGGTAAACATGTTCTGGGACGGGCTCTGGGGTGTCTGGGTCACAATGCGGTACCGAACCATCCCATTGGCCGTGGTGCTGTCGTCAGCATCATTGGCAGTGACTGTCATCACGTAGGTACCTGGAACAGAGACAACAGCTCAGATGGAAACTTCTGGACACACAGGCTGCTGCCCCATGTGCACACCCCAGGCAGGCATCGCCCATCAGCACACACCGCTCTCTTGGGGAGACAGGGCTGTAGTGCCCTTCCCACCATCGGAGGTAGCATCACAAAGTCCAGCTGCCCCTCCCGTGGGGGCAAAGGGTGTCTTCCAGAGCTCTTGGGTCCTCTGATGCTACCCACTCTGACCTCTCTTTTTCAGCTGTTGGAATGACCAAGGCTCAGAGGAGGAGGACCATCTCTGAGGTTCCTGGGCACAGGGCTGCAGAGCAGACCTTTCAGCACTACACCTGGGCCCACGGCCCCAGTGGGCAGGTTCCAGGGGCTTGACTGAGTTCAAGGAGCCCAGCCTAGAGGGGCTTCAGGGGAGGGTCTGAGGCACGGCATGAGGAAGCAGGGCCTAGGATGGGGTTGTGCATATAGAAGGTGTGTAATAAATGCTTGTGGAAGAACAGTGGGGAACAAACTCAGAAGGGACCCCTTAGTGGGCAGGGCTGGGCACATGAGGATGTGGAGTCGTAAGTGGTATTTTGGGGGTGTACCCACCCACATTTCAGAGCTCAGGGTGGACCAGAGGCGTTCACCATCCGCACACGGGGGTCAAGGTCCACAGTGCACGCTGGCACACTGCCTACCTCCTGAGAAGGGCACTTGGTGTGCCTTTCACATCCTCCATCCCACCTTGGAGGGGGAGGGACTGGGTCAGCACATCCCTCACCCTGGCCACAGTGAGCAGGTCAGGGACGGGTACTGTACCCCATTAGAGCAGGAGCTGAAGGAGAGGTGTCTGCTGGGGCTGCTGGGGAATCCCCACGTGCTGTCCTTTCCACTGGATATGGCTGGGTCCATGTGTGAGGTCAGGAGCTGTGGTCACTCTGTGGCCAGGAGGAAGGAGGCTTTGCAGTAAACAAAGCTGAGAGAAGCTCTGGATCAAGCCATGTCTGAAGCTGTTACTTATGAATTTTTTATATGCTTGAGCCAATACATTTCTCTCTTGCCTTTGCCATATTAATTTGAGATTTTTGACATGTGCAACTCAGAGTTCTGACTGGCATAAGCTCCTAGCCTTGTGCCTAACACAAGTCCTAGACATGGGGGCCGTTGTCCCAATCTGGGTTTCCTTAGTTATGTCCTTGTCCCTGCAGTGCAGGGGTTTGTTGTCATCCTCAGCTGGGCCCTTTCTGGGGGCTATGGCTGGTGCTGAGGCTGGAGTGGGCTCAGGCTTCTTATGTGTCTCAAGGGGCTGCCTGGCCGAGGATTGGCCCTGCTGGGATCCCGGGTGATCTATGGGCAAGGGGGCTTTCTTTATCCACCAAATACTGAGCACCCACTGTGTGTCAGCAGTGGGCCTGCTCCTGACTGAGCCCTGTCTCCTACCTAGGAGCTTCCGGGACTGGGCTCTGTCCTCTCCCTCTGGTGTCCTGCTGGGCACAGCACATGTTTGTGCCCAGAGCCCCAGAACAAACGTGCTCAGTAAGGGGAAGCTCGAGTGCCCCAAGGTCATGCAGACATCACTCACAGCAGCATTAGCCTGGAGTGGGGTGGCTCAGGGCAGGCAGCCTCCTCAGGCACAGGGCTCCTTGCCCAGGTGACAGGTCCCTGTTCTTTTGGGGCCCCAGAGGGCCTTGAGGTTCCTTTCCCCGTGTGCATGAGGTGAGGGACCCCTGCTAACCCAGCCCTGGGATCTTGCACTATCTGTTGGATGTCTGGAACGGTCTTTTCTCTTCCTCACCTGGCTGACTCCTACTCAGCCCCAGAGCTACTCTCCAGATCCCTGGACTGGGTCACGAGGCCTTGCTCACCCTCTCTGCCCTCCTAGTCAGCCCCAGCCCTCACCACTTGCACTCAAGCAAATATGTGTCTCCTCTGTGAGATTACACACCTGCGGATGGGGGCTGGGTCCATGCTGACCCTCCCTGTGCCCGGGACTTGCATGGGTGTCTCTGACAAGTATCTGTGCACCCTGCCAACAGGGTAGAGGGGCAGGGGGTCTGCATGGGGTCTGAGGCTCCTTCTCATTTCCAGGACTCCAGAGCATAGCCCTGGCCCCCTCTCTCTGCCTCCAAAGTCCAGCAGGGAAGACCCTCCCCAACCTGGGCAGGAAGCAGGTGGCCCCTGGGTGTGTCTGACTGGGAGTTTCTTCTGCTTTCAGCTTCTACCGAATAAAATATTCTCAGAGAATCTTGTGAAAATCTGTATCTTATGAAAACAGAAAGGAAAGCCAGCCCAGGGGACAGGTGGGGACCTGTGCAAATGGTACAGGCTCTACCCTCTCGACTCCAGAGAGGAACGTGGCAAGATTAGACCGTTCACGCTCTGAAGTAGACAAGCCACTGGCAGGACAGAGGCTGGACACCGTGAGGGAAACAAGGGGTACCAGGGCCGGTCCCCAGAGTGAGAGGTGACACTGCCAGGTGCCATTTCTCCTGGCCACTGTTCACTCCACAAATGCACACTCCAAACTCAAGTACACCATGGAGTTTGCCCTTGTAAAGTGCTCAGTTCAGTGGTTTACAGTATATTTACAAGGTTGTGCAACTATCACCAGAACCTAATTCCAGAACATTTCATCCTTCTCAAAAGAAACCTGTCTCCTAATAGCCATGTCCCTCCCCTCCCACAGCCCTTGGCAGTCACAAACCTGCCTTCTGTCCTATGGATTGGCCTGGTCTGGATGCTTCATATAATGGAATCCTACCAACTGCCCTTTAGTGTCTGATACTTTCACTCCTTTTTATGGATGAATAATGTCCCACTGTGCAGCAACACTCACTCCGCAGTTACTGGCTGACTCGTGTCATGAACCAGATGTCTTGCTCTGTGCTGAGACACAGCCATGAGGACACATAGACAGACGTGGCCCCTGCCCCTGTGTGCTAGTGAGGGGCAGCAAGACACTCATGGACATGCAGCGTGGCTGAGAAGGGCTCCTGAGGAAAGAGGAAAAGGCCTCCTGAGCGAGGAAGGGAGTGAGTGGGGTGAGGAGGAGGACGGCTGGGGTGGAGGGGCAGAGGCCCTGGTGCAGGGAGGGCTCTCAAATCTGGGCTGCAGAGGGAGCAGGCAGGGCATGGGGTGGAGACTGGCAGGGTCCTTCTGTGTGCTTTGGTCTTCCTTCCAAAGTCACAGGGAAGCCAGTATTGTATTTTCATCAGGGCAGTGACATGATCAAGTTTCCATCTTCAAGACATGCATAGAAAATGGACCAGAGGCAGTCAGGCGTACAGGGAGCCGAGGTGTGTGTAGTACCAAGCCTCTTTCATTACTGGGCTTTGTAGGAAATTGGTTGTAATCAGACCAAGAAGCTGACACAACCAGGGATTGTCCACTGAGACATTTGTTCACTCACTGAACACATCTCTATTAAGTGTCTTCTAGGGAAAAATCAGGAACTTGTGTTTTTTAAAAGCCCCAATAAAAAACATTTCCAAATAGACCTTACTTCGTGAAATTGATATATTCCCAAAGAGTTGTGCGTAAACCCAATTTTAATGAATTTAATTATCAACAGAATTTCCCCAGAGGTACTGGGTATTTAAAAGAAATCCAGAAAGTTATATCTTTAGCAAACGGTGGACTACGTTGTTTTAAACTAATTTTTCTCCCAAGGAAAACTAGAAAATCTGGACAAAATATAGACTAGAAACATCTGTGTAAATGCACCAGAGACTTTCCAAGTAACAAGAATTTGTGGGACTGGTAGGAAAGGAGAGTCCAATGTCTGAGGCCGTCTTTTCCCTAAGGCAGTTGCTGATTCCAGAACTGCCCATGGACAGGCCTGGAGCCATGCAGGGCCTTCAACAGACTCATGGGAGCAGGAATAGAGAGCTGAGCTTAGGGTCTGCCAAAGAAGAGGTGCCCCAGTAAGCCCTATAGTCTTTGGGCTAACCCTCGGAGTGCAGTGCCTTGGAGGGGAGGCCGATCTGGAAAGGAACAGTGCTAACAGCAGCACAGGGATAATTAAGGTAACTTAGGTAAAGGTGATCTGAGATTGTGAGCTCCCCTGCCAGGAACAAAAACAAATCCTCCATGGAGACAGGTGAGGTCACACACAGCCTCAAATCATTCTCACAATTTTTCATATGCAACGTATGAGATTTAATTAAGCACACAAGAAGACGAAATCTGTCTGAAAAACAACAGACACAGACCCACAGGTAACGGCATAATCAGATACAGATTTAAAAAAAACAAAACCATCTTAGTTTAATATGTTCAGGGAATTAAAAGATTAAGATAGAGAGTTTTGCCAGACAACTAGAAATATTTTAAAAAGTAAAATGGGAAAGCTATTTGAAAAAGTATCGAAATTATTAATAAGAACTTAAATGAGTTTAATGGTAGATACAGCTAAAGAGAGAATTAATTAACTGGAAGATATATTAAAAGAAAATACCCACACCAGAACAATACAGAGTAGTGCATAAAAAAACGAGACCTTAATACGCTCATCATATGTATAACTGGAGTCCCAAAGGGACAAAATGAAAAGGCAGAAGCAATATTTGAAAAAATAATGACTGAAACATTTCCAAAACCAATAAAAGTTAATAAGCCACAGACTAAAGAAGCACTATAAACCCTACCAAGGGTCACTCAAAGAAAAGCATGGCCGGTCACATCATGGTCACACCGTTAAAAGCCAGTGCTGAAAATATATGTTTTTAAACAACTGATGATTTAGAAAAAGGGCATAGAGCTTTGAACACAGCACTAAGATTTAAAACTGACTTCTCAATAGAAATAATGGAACCTGGAAAAAATGGAATGAAAAGAAATAATGAACACCCTGAAATTCTTTATTCGGTGAAAAAAAACTTTTCTAGAATAAAAGTGAAATAAGGACACATTTATTTCATTTTTTTTTTGCAGTTTTTGGCCAGGGCTGGGTTTGAACCTGCCACCTCCGGCATATGGGGCCAGCGCCCTACTCCTTTGAGCCACAGGTGCTGCCCACATTT